TCTGCTGGATCTGTTGTTAGCACACTTACTGACTGATTACTGATTTGGACAGTTCTTACTGCAAGGAAGTGACGTATTGCTATCATGTAATTTACTTCCATGCAATAAAACTCTTTAACAAGGGCCCATTTTGGGGCCTCAGTAAAAGTTTATGAATAAAAAAGATCATACTGTAGCTTGCATCACCTTGAGGTCAGGGAATAGGAGGGATATATTCATAATTTTTATATCTCTCTTAGAACCTTGACAAGCTGGAGGAAATGGAGAGGATCATATTCATGTACTTCAACGACTCCAGCACTGTGGTTCACTAAGACAAAATTCTAGAACTGAGTGTCTGGGATCATTTTCTTTGCATATGATGAGAATGGATGGCTGAGATTGTCCACTCAGTATCCTGATTTGGTTCAGAGAAATGAACATTTGATATTCAAACCCTTAAGGTCTTCCTTGCATTTACATCATAGCACCCGAGGAGCAATCAGTTTACAGGCTTTGCATTTAAAAGCCTGAGAATCAGTGACAGCTTGCCTTTTCCTTAGGAGTCTCTCCTTGTTTGTAATAGCAGACTTTCATGAGTAGAAACTGGATTATCACCTCTATCTCCCACCTATACTTAAACCTTCCTTTCCTGTGTAGTCAACAGATTCAATATTTGTAATTACAGTGAGCGGTACCAAGTGGTAAGAAGCCAAGTATCTGTCTGAAAGGATTGAACTATCTACTTGAATGACCTGTCTCCATCAAATCCAGGCAATGGAAAAAGAAAAGCCTGTACTTGGAAGGCATTTTTAATAAATACTTTATATGCTTCTATTGAAATACGTTTCATGGAGCCATATCTGCTTACATTGATCCATTTTATCCTGAAAACGAAATTTTCATTTTTCCACAAAGTACAACAGTAAAGACAAAAAAGTAGAAACATAATAGCAATCATTATAAATGTTTATAGACATAACGAAAGCCTTATCTAAAGTTCATCCTGTTTAAGGACATGTTTTATGTTGTACAATTCCTCTTAGAATATCAATCTAATAAGCACCAAATGAGGCTGAAGACAATGCTGTTATAAAAAATGGAGAAAAATGATTAAAATATGATAATTATACTGACAGCTTATATGCTCAATCTAATCAACCAAGCTTCCAATTTGTCATAATGTACACTCACTCATACATTATTGCTTAATTATAGCAACACTTCTGTTTGGAAAGGCTGTCAATCATGTGCATACCCATCATTTTTCTTTTTTTTTCTAAGAAGGGGCATATTTTAAGCAAGGATTTGGAGCCATTATGCTACTGATTTAACCCTTGGAATACTTTGTATGCAGAACTTCAGTTCTTATTGAATGCTTTCCTTTGTACATAGATTAGTATAAGTATTATTATGTTAATGTCATTATTTTAAGTCAGAAGTGATTTACCACATTCTAAAGTGAAATCTTGGCAAATTTGTGATTTTTATCGTTCTTAGAACAACCTATGTGTTTGCACTAAAAATAAGAAGATGCAACTTTTTTTAAGAAAGAGAAAATATTCCCAGATTCTTTCTCCAGCTACCTGAAATCACATTGATGGAGAATAAAAGGAAGTGGTGGAGCAGAGAGGATGAAATGTAGATCTTAAATAGGACATAAGTCCTTTACCCTCAGAAAGAGTTCTTATTTTTTCCTTCATTTCCTTTGACATTATCATTCCTCTTCCACAGATAAAAAAAAATGTTTAGCATGTTGCTCAGTGTATCTGCCAGGGTCACTGAGAGCTTAATAACTTGACCATATCACCAAGTGGACACTAGTAAAATGAGCCCATAAATCAAAACAGCTATTCTTATTATTGAAAAGACTGAATGAAACTTCGTTTTAATCAATTATTTTGAACATACTATTTAAGATGTATGTTTGTATATGTGTACAGACCCCATAGCTGGTATGTATAAACTAATCATATCAATGAGAGTTAATTGATAAGATTTTTATGTATATGGTGCAATCTCAGTTTTGTTTTTTTTTTAATTTTTTTTTAAAGATTTATTTATTTGTACATGCAGAACTGGGGTACAGGCCAGAGGCTCAGGGGTGGTGAGAGGCTTCACCAGGGGCAGAGTGGGGAGCAGAACAGGCAGATCGACGAAGTACACTGCTGAGGGGAGCAGCGGGCAGGTCAGGAGAGGTCTGCCACGCCATGTGGTCACCTCCGGGGCAGGCGGGAATCGAACTCATGCGGAAGTGGCTTTAGCTTCTCAGTGCAGTGCTTTAACCTGCTGCACCACCAGGGAGGGCCAATCTCAGTTTTTTAACCAATACCATTATTAAACTACTTCATCAAAATGGTCAGATTATTTGGTAGAGTTGAATACAATGGTCTCACTGAGTGTGAGAATTTTTAAGTCTTTAAGTATTTGAAGAATTGTTTCTGTAACTCTAGGATCTACTTTTGAGAGAGAAAGAGAGGCCATTTTTTTTTTTTCTCGGTTCTCTAAACATTCTCCTTTGGAAGAGCAAAATAAAGAAGCAGATATTCAAATATACACGCTTCTATTATTCCTTAAAAATTCTGTAATGGAGTCCTCCCAGATGTCTCAGGGGGTATAGTTTCAGCGCTATCAAGTTATCACCAGCTGCCTGAATTGGATCCCCCACCAGCTAAGGAGCTGACCCGCATGGCGCAGCAGACCTCTCCTGTCTCACCACTGCTCCCCTCAGCAGTATATTTCAGTGTATCTGCCTGTTCTGTTCCTCACCCTGTCTCTGGTGAATCCTTTCACCCCAGGATGTAGTACTGCAAGCCAGCCGCAGCCGCTTCAGGGTGAGTTAGATCCCTGCCGCAGAGGTGACCCACATGGCACAGCAGACCGCTCCTATCTCACCCGCTGCTCCCATCAGCAGTGTGCTTTGTTGATCTGCCCGTTCTGCTCCCCACTCTGCCTCTGGTGAAGCCTGGCCTGTATGCATAAATAAGTGAATCTTTAAAATAATTTTTCTTTTAAAAATTAAAAAAAAATCCACAGTGATGAGATTCCCTGACATAGGTATAACCTGACGTGGGGTTACTCCCTCTCCTTGCATCTGATCTGAATTTATAACTTGCTGGTAATCAATGCAGCCTGTGCCTGTGAATGGCATGACCGGCCAGGCAACTTCTCCTGGTCCATGTGGAACACTGGCTCTAGCAGAATCAGCTGCTTTGTCTGAGGCCACATGGTGTGCTGTGGTTGACAGTCCCAGCTGTGCCCCATCTCTCAGACACCGAGCTAAGGAACCAGGAATGTGGAGGAAGCAGCAGGGCCCCCCATGGGAGCCCATCCACTAGTTGAGTCCCACTAACTGACCTTCTTGAAGGACACAGAATCAGAGGTTCACCCTGCTGAGCCCTGCATGGAGTGTTGCCCCATGAAATCCAGGCAACCTAAGCCAATGACTGTTCACTCCAGCCAACCATTTGGGGACAGTTTGCTCTGCCACAGTATTAACTAAAACACAGGGCAGCTGCTGAGTCTGTTCTGATGCTGCTCACAAAAGAGCTTGCTCAAGACAAAAAATCTCCAAGTGTGAGTTGTCACTGATAAGCTGAGAAAAGTGGCATCCCTTTTCATTTTCCAGCACAAGTGTCTCTCTGATCTTGAGTTCCTTGATTCCAACATACACTGAAGTATCTGATAGCATCAACAAATAATGGCCAAGTGTGACACTGATATTAAGTGACATTCAACAGTTTTATTTGATGAAGGAACTTTCACAAATAAATGTATTCAGCTATCTCCCTAAGTGTGTTTATCACTAACACTGTGGCTGGTTTTCTAGAATTATGACTATATGTGACTGATTTTGCCTCAAGGATGAATGCCTTGGTAATTTGGACATCTTATCCATTTATGCAGCAAATTTTAACAATTTTATAGCAGAGAGCATTATTCTGATGTAGGGCTGGAAAAACTCGATTTGTTTATCACTGGGCTTCTAAGAGAGGAGGAAGTCCATCAAAAACCCTTATCCATTTCATGCTATTATTTGACAATATTTTAATATATTTTCTATTGATCACTCATGCAATAAAATCTAATTTCATGAAATGTATCAGTCTGCATTTTTGTCAGGGGAGCTGCTTGGGTGAAATTTCTATAATCACAGATTCTCTTGGCTCAACAAATATTCATTCAATATTTATAGTAGAATCTGATGATTATATTTCTGATATTATTTTTCATTTTGCTACTTGTGTACCATTTTTATTGCTCCTAAGCATCCAAAAATCTGTCGTCATTCACCTCTTTTTGTAAACTGTGTCTAAAATGCATCACATTATTATAATTGTTACCATTCCTGACATCTAATGAAAGCATACTAAATTCCAGGCACTATTCTTATCTTTTTGGACTAACTACTTCATTTACTCCTCATCACAATTGCCATTGACACTATTATTGGTATTCATTATTTTCAGTTATGGAAATTGAGGCAAGAAGATGACACAGCCTGCCAGATTTACTGCTAGTAAATATTAGAAAATATTAGGATGAGAATTCATACCCAAGGGTTCTGATGCACTGACAATAGTAGGAAGGTTTGTGAGAAAGTAGCCACCTCTGGCGCTTTTCTGTGCCAGGTGGTGTGGCTAGCCTGGGGGACAGGAGTTTGGTGTGGGAGGAGGTGGGGAGATGTCACTGGGCTAAATTTCTTCACTTCTTGATGACTCCTTGTTGGTCCCCAGCTCACTCCTCCTGGCCCATCTCTGGCAGGTGCTTCTTTCCTTCATCCTCCTGCTCAACCTGGTGGCTTTCTGCTGCTATCATATAATATTCCAAAGCTCTACAGAGAATACAAAAATTTCATCACTACCTCAAGCAATTTATAAACCTGAACAAGTAAGTAGGGGAGAAGAGTTGGAGTCTAAAACTCTGCAAAGAATTGTTACAAGTTTCTATTTCACCCAACATAGCTGAAAGCACACTTTGTTTACTAAGCAGAAGGCAAGAAAGATTCTTGAGAATAGTACCTTGCTAACTCACAAAAAGAAGAATCTGCAGTGAGGTTGGCAGCTTTCCGGATACCTGTGGGGTCCACTGAGCCCTGTTCAGAAGCTGTGCCAGCAAAGACCAGAAAAAACAAGGATCTTTTCATATGCAAGTGTATCATGAAGAATTTAGGTTAGCTGTAGGAAGAACAATCTGACACAGAATATTTCAACCTGACACTAAAACCCCTAATAAATTGAGATGAAATTTCAGCCAATTAGATGAAGAGAGAAAAAAATCTAACCAGGCCATTAATGTAGTGGTATTAGATCTAGAAAGCCTATTAATGATTTACTGAGTTCTTTACTGACCTGATTAAATTTACCACACAGTTTGATAGCAACCTGGGTATCATTAGGTACTAAAGAGAATCCATAATCTCATTCTGGAGATATTGGAAAATATAGCAACTGCCTTCTTGTTTCACCAAAGATGTTGGCACTTTCTAAAGAAGAAAACATAAATTCATGCATTCAAAATGTTTTCCAATTCTAATCAACTAATCAACATATAACTGATTAAAGTTATATGTAAAAATCATAGCATGCTCTCTTTCTATATATGCATACATTTCTGATGAGTGGATTTTTCCTTTTAACTAGTATAAATCTTAAAAAATGCAGCATATGTTAATTGCAACCCTATCATGTGCTTGGTGCTATAGACAGGGATTGTCATGTCTCCTACCTTATTTAGCAATGTTATTGAATAATCATCTTAATTTTCCTTGTAGAAAATAAAATCTCTACCATCTGTAGTCTAAAGAAACTAAACTAAACTAAACCTTTATTTATTCTTTGATCTTATATAAAATTAAGATGATAATATTTACCTCCTAAAGCACTATGAAATACTAGAGTTAATTAACTAATATTAATTAATGTTTATTAAATACCATGAAGACCCAAAACAAGGTAGGTCTAAATTTAATAGTATTGTGTTTCAATTCTTCACAATGACTTCAGTATTCTTTTCCTCTTTTATTTTATTCTAAGGTAACATTTAACTCGAAAAAACTTGAATTAGCTATACCTGCCAGCTGTTAGCAAGGTCACCTGGCTAGCACTAATGTTTATGCTGAAGTTTTTATATATAATCCAAAACACATGTTCACAAAAAGTAGACAAATTTAAGCAGAAATGATACTAGGAAATTCTTTTAGTATTGAGATTTCACATAGCTAGGAATACGTAAGATGGAATGTGATGTTCACTCTCATTTAGGATAGCATCAGTAGTTCCAAAACATATTTTTGGAACTACTCAGGGCAGTATTCTTAAGCTTCCTAGGCTCACTTCACAGTAATTGATCAACAACATTAAATTCTTAATCCAATAGAAAATGCTTTAAGAGCTACAGTTGAATTGTGTTCATATTGAACTGCTTTGAAAATATATTAAAGTTTTCAAATTATGGCATGTATTATACAGAATTCACTTGAATCTTGCTACAGTTTGACTTCTAATACCATAGTAATGAAAGAATGTCAGGTGGTCTAAAAAAAATGAGTTTGCAAGTAAGTGGAGTGGGCAAATTCATGAGCTTTTATTGTAGTGTTCTTTAGGCACTAAAGAATATGTAATGTTACATATTACATTTTAAAAGTAAAAATTAAAGAAATAAACCTCTTTCTCATATTCATTGTCAAAGTCAGTCACACTCTCTCCTTCCTTTTCCATTTCCAGTCCAAATATCTAAGAGCTGTGAAGTGACTGTGAAAAAACATTATCTTCCATTCTAAGGCATCATATTTGCTTTAATTTTTCCATATTATGAAGTATAAATAATTAACTTGTAAAAATAGCATTTTATAATCGATAAATGATTTATTAAGTGCAGTGTCTGCCTTATCAGACCCAAAGCAATTTTAGCATCGCTGTTTATTTAATACAGCATTTTTATGTATAAATCTTTATAAACTGTCCAAGATACAATAAAAAGCTAACGTGCAGACAAAATCCGTGAAGAACTGGCATATTTTTAAAGCTATATAGAAAAGAATGTACCATTAGAATCAAAGTAAGTGGGTATATTGTAACATAGGAGTAAAGTTAGGGCAAAGGAAGGGTGTTATATAACCTTAGATTACCAATTAAGCCATGTTAAACTGAAGTAATAATAGGATATCAGGAATCAAAACTAAGACAACAGAAGTGGACTTGATTTAAATTTCTATACAAAAGGTTGATATTAGTATATATTACATAAATTGACATGAACACAAGAAAACACATAATGTTAAATTGCTTTCTGTTTCAAAAGATAGGATGCAGAGACATGATTCAACTCTATTTCAGATGGAAATGTTTTCATGAAATTACAGCAAAGTTCTTGAGTATGTTTAATGTCCATGCTCAGGAATATTGGAGGTTTGGGGGCAATTACTCCAAAACAGGAATAGAAGGAATCTTATTAGGAATAGTAATGTGTGGAACTAAGGGAACATACTTTTATGAATGGGAGATACTGGCTTATCACCCAAGTGTAACAAGCCTTATCCCTCCAATTTCTAGAGCCATCTTGCTTATGGCGTTAATACACACACTAGCCAATACTTCTGGAAAATGATATTAGGCAGTTAAGAAACATGGACTCTAAAAGAGTCAAGCTCATAGAAGCAGAGAATAGACAGGTGGTTGCTAGAAGTCAGGGCAGAAAAGGTAGGGAGAGGGTAGTCCCAGTCTCATCAATGCCAAATAAATAAGTTCTGAAGGGTGACCAAATAGTGGCTACTGTTAACAAAACCATATTGTGCATGTAGAGTTTGTTGAAAACGTAGATCTTAAAAGTTCTTTAGACCCTCACTAGTGGCACAACCAATTGGAGTGCAGCACTAGGAAGCTAGCTGCAGCCACTTCACCATCCCCAGCTGGGGAGGTGACCCACGTGGTGTGGCAGACCTCTCTTGTTTCGCCTGCTGCTCCCCTCAGCAGTGTACTTCGCACAGTTTTCTAAATGTCAGTAATAGTCCTGTAAAATGGCTTCAAAAACCACATGTACTGCCTGTGGCTGTTTGGAATAATGATCATTTTATATAAAGTGACTATTACATCTGAATGGTAAGAGATTTTTAGCAATAATTACTTTTTTATCTTTGTAACTGGATTTTTTATATAATCTAGGCTACATATATAGTTCCTAGGCTTTATTTTAATATTCACAAAATATAATTTATGTATTTTATTTTTATATATTTTAATACAATATATAATGTAGCATTTTTATATCTGCAAAATAAGTTGGGAAATTATCATACAGTAATAGAAAACTTGACTAGTAAAAAATTGGTGAAAACTTTTAAAATGAGTTGTCATTTTTCACTTCTGTAGCTAAAAATGGTAAAGTATTGTGCTATTCATACTAAATGTTACTGAGGGTTCATTGAATATACCCAGCCAGAATAGATAGGGAATATACCCATCCAGGGGTGAACTTTGATATGACTTATTTGGAAAATAAATGGATGATTGAAATGTCTAAAAGGCACAGCCTTGGACTGTACTATGACTTCTGGAAATTTATATAGAAGAATAGAATCAGAGATACACATAAAAATTTATTATTTAAAACAGCAGAGTTTTAGAAACATTCTAAAAATTTAACAGTGAGGAATGACTAGTAAATGTTATATTCATTAAAAATCATATTTTGGCAATCATAACTTAAGAAAACGTTTATTGCTTAATGTAAAGTGAAACCAATAATGCAGAATCCTAATGTTTATACACAATGAAGTTTCAGTAGAATAAATTGTGTGGGTGCTTGCACAGTGTGTGTGTATGTGTTGTTGTGTATAGGAAAAAGACCATGCTACCATTAATCATTTTTCTAGTTTGTAGGATTGTGTATAATTTTTTTTTATAAGATTTATTTGTGCATACAGAACTAGGGTACAGGCCAGAGGCTCAGGGGTGGTGAGAAGCTTCACCAGAGACAGAGCGGGGAACAGAACAGACAGATCAACGAAGTACACTGCTGAGGGGAGCAGCGGGCGTGTCAGGAGAGGTCTGCCACGCCATGTGGTCACCTCCCGGGGCAGGCGGGAATCGAACTCATGTGGAAGCGGCTTTAGATTCTCAGTGCTATGTTTTAACCCGCTGCGCCACCAGGGAGGGCCGTATAATAATTTTTATCTCCATATCTTTTTGTATTTTTAAGTTTCCTACAACTAAGATAGATTAAAAAAAACTCTCTTGAAAATTAAAATTATTTTATCACCTAGGAAGTAGAAATTTCAATTTGCTCAATTTTTAAAAAGATGTAAGCTTTGAAATTCATCACAGTCTCTTAACAAACTTGGAAATTGAAAAAAATAACTACCATCACTAGAAAGGGCAGGAAATTTGTGCAACAGTCTGTAAGAGTATGAACCACATTCATTTACATGGATAAGTATGAAAATCAAGTGAAAGCAAGGAGAAACTTCAATGAAATAAAAAGCCGTCAAATGGCATTAAGTTTTGATTAAATTGCTAAACAAATGCAAAGATAAGTGCCTACAAAAGACTAGAAGGAAACTTGCAAACACTGATAGTATTATTTTTCTTCTGTGCCTGATGGTAAATGAACTTTCTGTTTACCTTCTTTCTGAACTATTCTGAAATTTGCTTCTTTTCCCCTTTATGATAAAAAAGTGTTTAGACACAATGCATAAAGTCTGAACCAGGAAGATATACCTTGCACAAACATTCATCTCAATCTTTTATCTTGCTTCTTAATTCCTAGCCATCATATGGTTGACATACAACCTCATGTCAAATATTTAATTAGCATTTGTCAGTGAAGCATTATGGGCTTTAACATTGAATTTATAAGATATGGAAGGAATGTGTTTCATTTGTTTTATAGCTCAGGATATATATAGCATTGTTAAATTCAAGGAAGCTGACCTTCCAACTATCTGAACAACTTGTCTCTATAGGTGATAATGAAAGTCCATGTTTATGATGCGCACTTTTGCTACTTCAGGATCCGCTTAAAAAACAGTCTTTTAGAACAACACCTCACATATGATGAGACATGGTGTCAAAATTTTATAAGGGAGTTTTATTCTATTAGGTTCTCAT